CTCTATCTCGAAGAAGCCCGAAGAAGAACAAAAAGGTCGTGTTGTAAACTGAAGGAGAGTCGTGTGATGCATTTAACAGTTGCACTTCACGAAACAGAGAGCGGGAGTAGTTGTGGCGGGAGGCAGGAGTGGTTTCGCAATTCACTTCGGTTCGCGACAGAGGGAAGAGGCGCGACTTTTGCGATCGGGAGCGGGAAGGCGGGAGTGGTAACAGGTAAATCCTTTTTTTTTTGTTTTTACCAAGCTCCACTCAAGAGTAGGATGCCTAAGGATGTATAATTTCCAATGGAAATGTAATATTCGAAATAGTGGTTGGTTAAAAGAAAGTCATGCCATGCTTATTTTTATAGATTTTCTAGCCAAATACAAACAAATTCATATAATATACATGAATAATCATATGAATCCTAATGAGAAGCAAACTATTTAACCCAAACAACTAACTACTACTTCTATGATGATTAAAAATAAAAATAAAAATAAAACTCAATTTATAGTAAAAATGTTTATCTCCTAACAAAATCAGCCATAAGAAAAAAAAATCATGAAAAATCAAATTATTGCATAAAAATAAACTATAGATCTTAGCGAATAAATAAACTATAGACGTACAAAAGCTAAAATACATCAATAGTATTGATAATCAATTACTTATTAAAGAGATCATTTCTTTCAGAATACGTCAAGTCTCATTTATTTCATCGCAAGTTGAAGTCTCTGAAGCATGAAAAAACTTCACATCCAAAAAGTTGAAAATTCATTTAAGCAAAATTATTATTACATATGCCTTAAGATAAACTTATTAAAGAAATTTGCATTATGTAACATCATAACATGAATGACAAGAAAGAAACCTTCATAGAAATACATCTGCATGCAAAACACGAGAATAGGAAACACTTCAATAAGTCATATTCCAGATAAGGTTTACAGATGCAAAGTGCTATGGTCCCAAAGAAGCCCAAGATAGCATAGGAATCTTAAAGGAGCTACAAGTCCAAATAAGTAACAGGTAAAATCTGAATCACGGGGACTTACAGTCCCAAAATACAAAAATCGTAAACTAGTTATAATCCTTAATAACTTCCCTGATAACCCAAAGGCAGCATAGGAACCTTAAAGTAGCTACAATTCCAAAAAAGTAGCTACAATTCCAAAAAAGTAGCAGGTAAAATATGAATCACAGAAAACTTAGAGTCTCAAATAAGAGAAATTGCAAAATTATTATAATCTTAAATGGCATTATGAGAAGTAAATCACTATAATCCCAAGTAAGTTTGTGATAAAAAAATTTGGGATCTACATTGGTATGTTTTAACATAGCCAAAAAATGCTGTAACAACTTCAAAATCTTCGTGCATGTTATGCACACTTGAATGAACAGTTCAAGATTAAACACATAAGACCTGCTCGTGTTTGATATAATTATTTTGTTAGTATCAACTTTATTAATAGAACTTGACCCATTTGAATCAAGGAGATGTTAACAAAAATCAAGCCACAAATTGAGCCCTTTCAAAACTTTTAAATACACAACTTATTAACTTGTAATGTTTCAACAACTTTAATTATATGCTGAACTTCATAGAAAATCATCACAGACAAAAGTTTGGAATCAAAGCAAACTGTGTTCTTCATGATAATTAATCACTGCAAATTAATCCGCATGTACTCTATATATATAGTAATGAATGTGGAGTATTGCCAGGTGGCTTGCCATATTTTTGGAGTTGCGCTTAAAATAATTTTGGAGAAAAAAACAGAGCAAACTAATTTAGAGCAGCCACAAAAGTATCAACTATAAAAGGGAAATAGGTGCATCAATAATATTACAATACCTCATTTGCTATTCCCTCATCATCCTTGTATCCAACTTTCTCGAGAATACCATGAATAGCAGTGAGGTCCAATCTAGAGCAAGCTTCACCAAGTGGAGTCAAAGACTTAACAGAGGTGGCAGATGGATTTGGAATACCCATCAACATGTATGATGGCACCTACTAATGAACTTTGAATCAGTCTTAAGATGTAATAGCTTGGGAAGCTGCAATAAGCTTAAAAAGAAGTTGGGCAATTTCCCCTCACAACAGGTACATAAAGATAGAAGAGGAGATACATCTGACGAAATAATAAAGTGCTTTTCAAGTTGGCAGTATTTAACCAGGCTGAATATTAAATTACTCAATAAATCCAAGGCAATAAGATCCAAGCCTCTTATGAACAAGCATAAATTTAAAATTTGAAGCTTTAAAAACAAGAAAAATGAAAATGCATTGACTTCAACTTCAATAAAGAAGGTTTTCAGAAAATTTTATCTTAAGCCAACATAAGGAAACAAAATTTACTGATATTTAACAACTAAAAGTTCAAATTGTGCAATTTTTAAGGTAGATTGCCACTATTGAAACTATCTCCAAAGCAAGCCTTTACCCGAGCTTCCTTTTGTAGAGACATAAGTGCAGACACAAGAGACCTCACGATAGGCCTCTCACGTGGTTCATATTGCAAACAGCGGGATGCCAAGCGTACTATCTCAGTTCCATCATCTTTTGAGAAATGCCCCTCCAAACCAGAATCCATCAGCATCAGAAAGTTCTTACCACGAATTAGGTCAAGTGCCTGTAAAAATAGATGGAAGACCTTTGACAATTTTTTACACTATCAACTACTCAAATAAACATTCTGCATTATGGGAAATATACAATTAAAGATTAGCATTATGTTAAGGAATAAAAGGTACTCCAAGGCCTGTGGTATAGCATTTAGAGAATGCAGATTCAGATGCCATTTGTATAAGGTTATTATACATGGCTAACTTAGGTTTGGCGTGCATCTAAATTACTGTCATAAAAGAAAATAAACTTACGTGACTAGGGGGGATATGTTTCCCACTGAGGAGGTCAAGTAACAGAGTGCCAAAGCTGTATACAACACTCTCAGGCGTCACTCTTCCTGACAAATGAAGAAATTCCGGAAAACAGTTTCGTAAAACAGTAAGACCTTAAATTTAGGGCTTATACTCGGAGAACTTTTGAATTGAGATGGTAAGATAAGAATCAGTAAGTTAAGCGTGAATTAATTGAACAGAGTAGAATCTGCGTGAACACAATTCATAGGTACATAATTTAGACGGAAACCAATAAAATATGTAGCAGTAGTAGCAAAGTGGCCAGCGGAAAGAATATCTTGCATTAATTCAGTTTCCACTGGCCATTGCCTCCTACAACTCTTTCACAATAGAATAAATCAGCGGAAAGTGGCCATTGCCTCCTACAACTCTTTCACAATAGAATGTAAATCACAAAAATGCATCAAATAAAAGTCAAAATTGATGATATGTAGAACTAAAGAAACAAACTTTCTTCGTCTTCTTTTTTCTTTTACCAGAGTACAAGTAAGCGCACCTGTCTTAAGGTATTCTGGAGGCGTGAAGGCCAAATTAGTACTATAGCTCTTTCCATCTCTACTGTTCTTCATGAGGCCAAACGTCGACAACCTCGGATTACCATCCTACTCACAAAAAAGGGCAAATCAAGAACCAGAATGAAGACGACAGCACCTTGACAGTCACAAGAAAACACATTCAAAACTGGAGACATTTCTCACTTGATCGAAGAGAACCCTGTAGGCATTGAGATCATGATATAAAGCGCGACCTCGGCTGCTGCAGTACTCCAAGGCCTGTGCCAGGTACAGGGCCACCCTTATCCTCATTGTCCAACTCAAAGGACGTGTATCCCCTGCACATTCAGATCAAATTATTCTAAAAATAAGCATTATAACAGATCCAAATATAGCACAGCTCAAACTCATCAAAATTATCATTCAAGTAGTGTTAAGACAAAAGCACGGTCTATTCTTAAAGAGGACAATTAGAGAGTTTTAGCTCGAAATAGACGTACAGTGAAAGAGGTGTTTAGCTAGGGTGTCATGGGGCATAAACTCCGCTACTAGAAGCCTCTCACTTCCCTCGCAGCAGCTACCGATCAGATTAGCCAGCCGCTCGCCCCGGAGCTGCCCAACTGATTTCGCCTCCTCCTTCAATAAGAGCAAAAAATAAATCCATGAGATAACGTTATTGTATTGAAATACATGCGCTAGATAAAGAGAGACTGACGAGGAACTGGCGAGCGTCGGGCCAGGCGGACTTATTAAAGCGCTTAATAGCGACAGTGCGATCATCGTCGACTAGCTGGCCACGGTAGACGACGTTAGGGGCCTTTTCGCCGTGCTCGGAGACGATGCGTTCAGGCGAGAACCCGTCTGTTGCTTCCCGCAGTTCTTCCAGTTTGAATTCCTTAAACGCTGGCATAGCGTCCTTCTCGTCTTCCCCTCCATTCTCTGCAACCAAACCCAAATGCATCTGCGTTTGATCAAAAAAGCTCCGAGATATATATATATATAAGAGAGAGAGAGAGAGAACCTAGATCCCTGGACTCTCGAATGGACGACTTAAAGTTCACCGGCCACCAACACACAGAAATTTTCGAGCATCGAGCTCCCATTACTTTACCAAATGCAAATCAAGAAGATTCAATACCCTGGGAAGCACCTTTCAATGTAATCCAATATCGAGGGGAGTTAAACGCTCGTACTACTCCTCCAACTGATCTCTCCTTCCTTCCTCAAGCTGAAGCAGTGATAAGAAATCAATGGAAGAAGACCTCGGATATAGAAAACTTATCCAGGAATGAGAACAAATGGCTTTTTCGCATCCTTCACGCCGAACCTTTTTCCTTCTTCTGCTGCCTCTGCAAGCGGAAAATGGTTCACTTTTCACACTCGTCGCTCTCTGTTTTTGTGCGCGAGCTGCCTCTGCAAGCGGAAAATGGTTCTCTTTTCACACTCGTCGCTCTCTGTTTTTGTGCGCGAGGTACGGTATAAAGTTACGGTATAAATGGCATCACGAATTCAGTGGCGTGGCGATAAAATGTGTTTCCAGTTGCGCAAAACGTACGCGTGGGCGTGGCTATTAAATAGGGCTCCAAATGGGCCCGGGATGGCCCGCCTCAGCCACAATTCCAACAAATTTGGCTTTGGAAGGAGGGTATGGCTGTCTATGGAAAGGATTTGCCTGCTAATCGGAAATTTTTCAGTAGGATTTACTAAATTTTATAATTTAAGATTTGGTAAACCTTCAAATTGATAATATGTGTTACTATATATCACACTGTTGAATCAGATACTGTCCCAAAAACACGTCCAGGATATAGAACACAGAAAGAGAAAAAATATTAGAAAAAATAAGAAAGTTATAACATTTATTCATGATAGCGACGGTCATATTTATAAGAATTGGTCCTGATTCTACAAAATTACATATCAATCCCTTCTTCATCGTTAGTCTTTTAGTGAGACCTTTCTATTATTACAAACATATCCACATGTAATAAGACCGGAGAACAGATTTGGTCGATAGGAAGCTCGTCGGTCATTTGTTGTGCCTTGAGTCCGCCAACAATCAATCCAAAAAGGGATGTTTCTTGACGATTATCTTGAACGTCGATTGTCACTCTGTGAGAAATCCCCTAGTTTGTTCCTCCGATTGCTAGAACTATATGCCTCCTTCGCCGATATCAAACCCAAACAATCGTCAAAAGCCTCATTCAATTGTCTATATCTTCTATTTGAGTTGTTCATCTATGTCGAGATCTGTGTTGACATATTTTTCATATATATATATATATATATAT